ATTATTCATGTCTATTCCCATGATACAAGAGGAAATTGAAGCCCTAAGAGTTGAAGAAAATGTCTCAAGGCCATTCCCCTTATATGCAGGTAATAGAAATTACCAGGTCTGTGATTAAGCATCATTCAACCATCATTTGCTTGGGAGCCTTTTTCAGTGAAAACCCACCATGTTTGGACAAATACTGCTTCCTAAGAAGAACCAGAGTCTATTATGTCCTTGCATTGAGTGAGACTCTCTACAACCTTTAGTTCTAACTGAGAAATTTCCTGTTCCAACAGAAAGGAGTCTTAGTCCAATAAAAAAATCTGGGTGAGAAATGTGATGGAAATATTTTCCCCAACCCAATTTTTCAGAGTTGTTTTATTTCCTATCACAACAATAAAAGAAAAATTACAAATATAGACTCCACTAAAATGTTTTAGTTTGTAAGTACCATGTTCTTTAATTATATTGAAATCATTTGCTTATGACAATTCGCTACAGTGCAATTCTGGTGGGCTTTTTCCAATTTCACAATGAGACAAGAATTATTCTAAACATAAGAAACAGCAAATTTTACAATAAGTAAAACTGATGCATAAAATAGATAAAATTAGATAATAACTTTCAAGTAAGCTACATAGTGCCATGGCAGCACTTCACACAGCAGACAGGATTAAGGAGACCTTATCAAAGTGGGATATAAAAATTGCATGTATTGAAACCTTGACTGGATGGTCCATTTTCTGAGAGAATTTAATCAGTGAATAACAAAAGAGGGTCAGCTAGAAGTGTTTATTGCTCAGTTACTAAAGATGGAAGATGATCGATAATTAACTGAGTTTCTGGCTAGTTAGAAGAAATGGAGGATATATGCCTAAAATTAATTCTTTCTAAACTGGAAGGACCTAACTGACTCTACTCAGTTAGGTGCTCAACTCAGCTGTGCCTACAGATTGTTCTTTATTTTAGTTTCAGTTTATCCATGACTCAAGCTCATTTCATATAGGAATCTTGTCATATTACCATAACATTTTATTCTGAACCTGCTAGAAAAGCAATTAGTCATTTATTATAACACAAAAAAATTCAAATTGGTTGCAATTATGTTTTCTGAATAAAACCATCTCCTTTGATGTGAATATCATAAAGTTCTATATTTAAAAGGCATTGAATGCATCATAATGGTAAATAAGAAGACCCTTAAACTAGCATTTACACATCCTGCATATAAAAACTTAAATGGATAATTTTTACCCACAACAGATTTATATTTGTGGCAGAGAATTTTAAAGAATTGATTTAATTAGTTATAACTATGCCCAGAAGCATAATTTGAAACAGTGTTGAATGAATGAGGAAAGTATTTTTAAGTACAGGGAAAACCCTCTTAACATTCCCTTTCATTCATTATTAGCAAATGTTTATTAAGCACCCACAGTTTGCATGACAATGCACAATATAATGAGATTCTAACCTGGCATCCTTCTATTCTAGCTCTGGTAGTTAATTGAATGAGATAATCTTTTCAGCTGTCCATTCACAGTATGTGATGAAAGACTATAGAAATCAAATGAATGAGTCGGTCTGAAAAGACATGTGGACATGTATATTTGTTTCCTCTTGCTTTGTGTGCTAAAAACAGTTTACTACCTACCTACCCTTTCTATTTCTTTAGTGCCTTCTGAATTTGAAAGAACATTATCTTAGACAGTGAACTATATGCTTAATTGTGAGTTTCTGAAGGTTTATAGAGGTGAGAACTGTAATTTGCAAGATTCTGCAGATATGGAAAGGAAAAAAACAGCACAGTAAATTCGGGCAGATAAGAAGAAAGGTATTTTGAGGGGTTGTTTCTATTTGAATAGTAATTTTAGACTTAATAATATAGAATAGGTTGTACATTTTAGAGATGGACATCAGAATTCATCTAGACCACTGGTTTTCAACATTTGACATTAGAGTCACTGGATCTTTAAAAACATAGATCCTAAGTTCTCATCCCCAGAGACTGATCTAGAAGGGGCTGGGAGAGGAGGCAGGCATACATATATTTGTAAAATTTCCCCAGCAGCCAAAGCTGAAACACACAGATCCAGCGCAGCCTTGACATTTTTGGCATGAGGTCCCTGAGGCCTTGAAAGATTAAGTAGCTTGCCTAAGGTCAACACAGCTTAGAAGCCTTGGAGCAGGCAAAGAACAGAAATATCCAAATTCCCAGAGCAGATCTCTCTTTACTAAACCAACGGGCATCATTTTTACTTTACTCAAATGCTGGCTGAGATCTAATTATCAGTTAGTAGTAGTTCGGAAGTCCAAGACTGCCTATAACAAGTCCCCTCCTCCTAATGACCTATGTGTGCTTCCTTTTCTTGCTAAGCACTAAATACGTCTTCACACACTTATGAGGACACTGATGACACTGTAATAATTAATATATCTGGTTATTCTACATTTTGAAAGGCTTCACTTATTTGAAACTTTTCCATCCATAAAATATATCATTGATATTTTAAGGCAAAGAACACAGATTTAATATTTGAATCTGGGTCCCATTTAAGCCTTCATTATCGAGTTTATATAGCTGAACACATGGAAGTACTCAGATGTTAGGCTGGATTTTGTTAGCTGACTTCCTGTATGATAATACCTTTAATTTTGCCCCTTCCGCCAGATTCTGAAAGCCCCATGCAGGTAGAGCCCTTGCCCAACTTCATCCATTGTCCCCCAGCACCTAGTACAATGCTTGTCACACAGGCAACACTCAACAATTAATGGTTGAATTAAAAATCCCTTATTATATTTTGTTAAGAAATGAGAGAGAATGCCTTTAGCCAATGTGTATAGGACAATCCCATATAAATAAAAGTATGGAAAGATGGCTTTATAAAATAATACTTTTACAGTTACTTTTTAAGGAGCTTTGGTCTGATTTTTGTGATATAATGGTCTGATTAAATGTTACAACTAGGTCGAGGCAGGAAAATCATGTGAGCCCAGGAGTTCAAGACTAGACCTAGCAACAGAGTGGGACCCCATCTCTACAAAAAGTTAAACAAAAAATTAGCTTGGCATGGTGACTCATAACTGTAGTCCCACCTACTCAGGAGTCTGAGGCAGGAGGATCACTTGAGCCTGGGAGGTCAAGGCTGCAGTGAGCTGTGATCATGCCAGTTCACCCCAGCCTGAGCAACAGAGTGAGACTCTGTCTCAAAAAATAATAATAATAAAGGTTATAATTAATGATTTTTATTGGAAGTACTAGGTACATTCATTAATAAGATCTACTAATGTATCAAGCAAGTGAGGTTTCTGTTTTCTAGACTGATTTTCCTAGAGATCAAATTTACATGGTGAAGGATGACATGGAATATTTGGCAACTATTCACACTTGCTATCTCTCCAGCTCAAATTCCAAGTCACTGCCACGTTGCAATGCAATGTTCAGCCATGTTTAGGCCTGGCTTCACCAGAGATACTCTTATCACAATGGACAATGTCAATAAATCAAAGCCTCAGAGACTCTGCTGAATACTCTTCTTCATTTTCAGGCTGCATGTATCTCCCACAAAGGGAGGTGGCACCTGGGTACTACACTAATCTAGCTAAATGAGCCACTTGGAAGCAAATCTGTTCTGCTTTCCAGGTTTTGCAGCTGCTCATCTGAGCATGTATACTATAATCTAACCTACCTATTCTGAAGTCCTTGCACTTCTCTTTAAACTGTTACATGCGCTTTCATTCCCTATTTTGCACATGATACAGTGTAATTAACTGAAATAGCTCTTCTTACCTTCCTTACCTCTCCAGGGATCTGCTGTTGAACTTACAAAACTCATTTAAGTACACAAGGTACAATTTGTCCTTGCTGTACCATTCATTTGAGTTACAGTTAGGCAGTCATTCATATTATAAGTCCTTCATTTAGTATACCTTTTATGTGTGGCTGAAGACAATACAGACATGCAGTAAGCACTAATAAAATAAAATTAACACCAAGTTTCCTTGTCTTTTGGGAAACGTAACTGTTATTATTATCTGGCAAGATAGAGTTCAGTGCCTCTGGTGACTCAGAGGAGTTGCTATTATTGTGGAAGGCAGTAATCTAGTTACAGAAGAAGATTATTTAATTGATGGCAGTTTACAGCTAAGTCATTTCAATCCCACCTTTTCAGCCCCATCATTTGACCCCCTCCTTTGACCTAACCACACACCCGATTCCATACATTTTTAAGGCCTTTACACCAAGGAATAAATATAATTTTTGTCCTTTACATCAAGGAATACAATTTTTCAGACTTTTATATAATTTATGTAGAAATAATCAATACAAATATAAATGACATCAGCTAAAATGACACATTTAAACATGATAGAGATGATTCAGTAGCCAAATTTTGAAAATCAACACTGGAAAAACAAAATTATTAATGAATATTTAATCTCCGCTATATAACTGAAATGAACAAGAGGGCTGGAAGGGGAACAGGTGTATATTCAAGGGGCTTATCTTAGATGTAACATCAGCATTAAAGCTAATGTTAATGGAGGAACTGCACTGTGCATGAACCACAATACTATAAGTTACTTGGGCACATAGCACAAGCTCAGTACGTTTTCTGAATGAATGAATGAATGAATGGTCTTCTTCAGAGATTTACAGTGTAACATTGGGATTTAGAGAACTGCTTTAAAATCTCTATTCACATCTAGGGATTAATAAACTAGATTTTTGGAAAGTCAGTACTGAAGACACTGTAGGTCTTTCTGTTTGTTAATTACTTAAAATGACCACAAAGTCATTATTCTTACCCTTAATTTCTCAGTCTGAAAAGTTAATGAACTGTATCTGTTCCATGAATAATTAAGTTGAACTTGAAAGAGAACTCCCTATTCCAAAAGCCTCCCACACCACCAGTTAACTGTGATTTATCTTTTTACTTCTAAAGAATTTTAAGCATCTTCCACCTAACTTGACTGACAACCAATCTGTACTTCCTCTGTCTTTATTCTGTCAGGAAGAAGATGTTACTCGTGAAAGTCGTTTTAATTTTAGTGGTTATGGAATGGGTCACTGCCTCCAAGTGAAAGATGGAACAGCTGTCAAGGCCACACCTGCCAACCCACTCCCACAACCCCCAAAAGATGCAGATGCTATTAAGAAGAAGTTTGTGGACCGCGCAAAAAGGATTGACACAATATCTCGAGCTGCCTTCCCATTGGCCTTCCTCATTTTCAACATCTTTTACTGGATCACATACAAGATCATTCGGCATGAAGATGTCCACAAGAAATAGATGTGCCCTACAGACCCTGGGACCTTCTTGCCTCAGTGTTGTGCTTGTAAATACACAGTGAAATTGTCTTTATATCATCACTTTGACAGAGGAGAAGATTGAGGGAGGGGGGAGGGAGGGTCATGGGGGTGGGTTTCCTGGCACCTACATGAAAAAAGACAAGTTATATGGGCGATGAAGAAAACTGCACAAAATTAAGGGGTTGCAGAATCACGGGAGCATAATTCCCTTCCATAGTCTTTAGCATTGTTCTTTCAGTCAGACATGATATGTACATCAGTCAGACATGATACACGGAGTCAAGTTCTTAAGGGCTGTCTGCCTTTTGGTCCTTTTGGTTTGGTTTGGCTCGGAATAATTATGGTACTGAAAAGTTAGCTACACACACCCCTCTCAAAAATGCTTAACCATCTGACCACAGTGACTAGCCTATAGTGAGTTGAAGACCAAACTTTTTCAGGAAAATGCTGCCTCATTTTTAAAAACAAGCCTCCTAAGCTATGTTCTTTACAATGTCTGTAATTAGTGTTTCACCTGAGAAATCCTTTTGTGGATCATAAATTATTTCTACTTATCCAGTAAATAACAATGACAAAGTAAACGCCAATGACAAAAAAATTTCTATTTTACTGTCCATATAGGTGTGCATTTTAATATTATTTTTCTTTCTAAGATAAAATTTTGAAGTTTAAATTGTGTATTGTGTAATTAATTTGATAGTGTACACTCTTAACAATAAATGCCCACTTTATTTTATATCTGAGTTAGCGTACTATATATATATATATATATATATATATATATATATATGTATTTTTGCTTTGGCTATATTTACCTGTGACTTTAGTCACCCAACTGTGACTCAACCATTGCAGCTACTCAGCTACAGTATTTGTGGAGATGGTGTGTCCTGAACAGTGTAGCTCAGGTCAGCTTGAACTTTCCATTTCTGCTCACATTGTAGGTGTAACTACTAGTCCTAATGTTAACTGACCCATGATTTCTACTGTCAATCTAAGTGAACATTGTTTTAAATATTCTTAACTAACTTAAAGAATTTTAAAATGGTACTGTGATTTTCATAACCCGTTGCCTTTTTGGTACCAGAGCTTCGTGGTTTGAATCCTGGCTACATGTTTTAAGTAAGAAAAAAAAAAAAAAGACGTATTTTTGCTTACTCAGATAAAAGACAACCTGTAAAAATATAAGGAAATAATTAAATTTTACATGTGCTGTACAAGGGATTATTTTAAAAAGCATTTGTTGAATTTCAATAAAGCTATGTGTGCCACAAACTTCTCTAGAGGCTTTCACTTTCATTTTTGAATTAAAACGTAGATTTTTTATTTGAAAACTTTTGTTACTATACTTTAAGTTCTGGGATACATGTGCAGAATGTGCAGGTTTGTTACATAGGGATATATGTGCCTTGGTGGTTTGCTGCACCCATTCACCCATCATCTACATTAGGCATTTCTTCTCCTAATGCTATCCTTCCCTAGCACCCCACCCCCTGACAGGCCCATTGTGTGGGTTCCTCACCCTGTATCCATGTGTTCTCATTGTTCAACCACCACTTACGAGTGAGAACATGCAGTGTTTGGTATTCTGTTCCTGTGTTAAGTTTGCTGAGAATGATGATTTCCAGCTACATCCATGTCCCTACAAAGGGCATGAACTCATCATTTTTTATGGCTGCATAGTATTCCATGGTGTATATGTACCACATTTTCTTTATCCAGTCTATCATCGATGGGCATTTGGGTTGGTTCCAAGTCTTTGCTATTGTGAACAGTACTGCAGTAAATATATGTGTGCATGTATCTTTATAGTAGAATGATTTATACTCCTTTGGGTATATACCCAGTAATAGGATTGCTGGGTCAAATGGTATTTCTGCTTCTAGATCCTTGAGGAATCACCACACCGTCTTCCACAATGGTTGAACTTATTTACACTCCCACCAGCAGTGTAGAAGTGTTCCTATTTCTCCACATCCTCTCCAGCATCTGTTGTTTCCTGACTTTAATGATCTCCATTCTAACTGGTGTGAGATGGTATCTCAATGTGGTTTTGATTTGCATCTCTCTAATAACAAGTGATGATAAACTTTTTTTTCACATTTGTTTGGCCACATAAATGTCTTCTTTTAAGAAGTGTCTGTTCATATCTTCTGTCCACTTTTTGATGAGGTTTTTCTTTCTTGTAAATTTCTTAAAGTTCTTATATATTCTGGATATTAGCCCTTTGTCAGATGGAGCAATTGCAAAAATTTTCTCCCATTCTGAGGGTTGCCTGTTAAGTCTGATGATAGTTTCTTTTGCTCTGCAGAAGCTCTTTAGTTTACTTAGATCCCATTTCTTAGATTTTTGATTTGAAAACTTTTGTTACTATAAGTTCTGTATTTTGGCTTTTGTTGCTATTGCTTTTGGTGTTTTAGTCATGAAGTCTTTGCCCATGCCTATGTCCTGAATGGTATTGCATAGATTTTTTTCTAGGGATTTTATGGTTTTATGTCTTACATTTATGTCTTTAATCCATCTTGAGTTAATTTTTATATAAGGTATAAGGAAGGGGTCCAGTTTCAGTTTTCTGCATATGGCTAGCCAGTTTTCCCAACACCATTTATTAAATAGGGAATACTTTCCCCATTGCTTGTTTTTGTCAAGTTTGTTGAAGATCAGTTGGTTGTAGATGTGTGGTGTTATTTCTGAGGCCTCCATTCCGTTCCACTGGTCTATACATCTGTTTTAGTACCATGCTGTTTTGATTACTGTAGCCTTGCAGTATACTTTGAAGCCAGGTAGGATGATGCCTCCAGCTTTGTTCTTTTTGCTTAGGATTATCTTGGCTATACAGGCTCTTTTTTTGGTTCCATAGGAAATTTAAAGCAGTTTTTTCTAATTCTGTGAAGAAAGTCAATGGTAGCTTGATGGGGATAGAACTCAATCTATAAATTACTTTGGCCAGTATGGCCATTTTAACAAAATTGCTTCTTCCTATCAATGAGCATGGAATGTTTTTCCATTTGTTTGTGTCCTCTCTTATTTCCTTGAGCAGTGGTTTGTAGTTCTCCTTGAAGCATCCTTCACGTCCCTTGTTAAGTTGTATTCCTAGGTATTTTATTCTCTTTGGAGCAATTGTGAATGGGAGTTCACTCATGATTTGGCTCTCTATTTGTCTATTATTGATATATAGCACATGATTTTGTATCCTGAGGCTTTGCTGAAGTTGCTTATCAGCTTAAGGAGATTTTGAGCTGAGACAATGGGGATTTTTTTTTTTTTTTTTGAGACAGAGTTTCGCTCTTGTTACCCAGGCTGGAGTGCAATGGCACGATCTTGGCTCACCACAACCTCCGCCTCCTGGGTTCAGGCAATTCTCCTGCCTCAGCCTCCTGAGTAGCTGGGATTACAGGCACGCACCACCATGCCCAGCTAATTTTTTGTATTTTTAGTAGAGACGGGGTTTCACTATGTTGACCAGGATGGTCTCGATCTCTTGACCTCATGATCCACCCACCTTGGCCTCCCAAAGTGCTGGGATTACAGGTTTGAGCCACCGCACCCAGCCGACAATGGGGTTTTCTAAATATACCATCATGTCATCTACGAACAGAGACAACTTGACTTGCTCTCTTGCTATTTGAAGACCCTTTATTTCTTTCTCTTGCCTGATTGCCCTGGCCAGAACTACCAATACTATGTTGAATAGGAGTGGTGAGAGAGGGCAACCTTTCGTTGTGCCGGTTTTCAAAGGAAATGCTTACAGCCATTGCCCAGTGTAATATTGGCTATGGTTTTATCATAAATACCTCTCATTATTTTGAGATACATTCCATCAATACCTAGTTTATTGAGTGTTTTTAGCATGAAGGGGTGTTGAATTTTATTAAAGGCCTTTTCTGCATTTATTGAGATAATCATGTGTTTCTGTCATTGGTTCTGTTTATGTGATGGATTACATTTATTGATTTGCATATGTTGAACCAGCCTTGCATCCCAGAGATGAAGCCAACTTGATCATAGCAGATAATCTTTTTGATGTGCCACTGGATTCGGTTTGCCAGTATTTTACTGAGGATTTTCACATCAATGTTCATCAGGGATATTGGCCTGAAATTTTATTTTTGTGTTGTGTCTCTTCCAGGTTTTGGTATCAGTTTGATGCTGGCCTCGTAAAATGAGTTAGGGAGGAGTCCCTCTTTTGCTCTGGTTTGAAATATTTTCAGAAGGAATGGTACCAGCTCCTCTTTGTACCTCTGGTAGAATTCTGCTGTGAATCTGACTGTTCCTGGGTTGTTTTTTTTTTTTTTTTGGTTGGTAGGCTATTAATTACTGCCTCAAGTTCAGAACTTATTATTGGTATATTCAGGGATTTTACTTCTTCCTGGTTGAGCCTTAGGAGGGTGTACATGTCCAGGAATTTATCTATTTCTTCCAGATTTTCTAGTTTATTTACATAGAGGTGTTTATAGTATTCTCTGATGGTACTTTGTATTTCTGTGGGATCAGTGGTAATATCCCTTTTATCATTTTTATTGTATCTTTTTAATTCTTCTCTCTTCTTCATTAGTCTGGCTAGCAGTCAACTTTGTTAATCTTTTCAAAAAGCTAGCTCCTGGGTTCACTGATTGTTTGAAGGATTTTTCATGTGTCTATCTCCTGTTCTGTTCTGATCTTTGTTATTTCTTTTCTTGTGCTAGCTCTTGAATTTGTTAGCTCTTACTTCTCCAGTTCTTTTAATTGTGATGTTAGGGTGTCGATTTTAGATCTCTTCTGCTTTCTCTTGTGGGCATTTAGTGCTGTAAATTTCCCTCTGAATACTGCTTTTGCTGTGTATAAGAGATTCTGGTATGTTGTGTCTTTGTTCTCATTGGTTTCAAAGAACTTTTTTTCTGCCTTAATTTTGTTATTACCCAGTAGTTATTCTGGAGCAGATTGTTCAGTTCCATGTAGTTGTGCAATTTTCAGTGAGTGTTTTAATCATGAGTTCTAAATTGATTGCACTGTGGTCTTAGAGACTGTTTGTTATGATTTCCATCCTTCTGCACTTGCTGAGGAGTGTTTTACTTCCAATTATGTGGTTAATTTGAGAATAAGTGCAATGTAGTGCTGAGAAGAATGTATATTCTGTGGATTTGGGGTGGAGATTTCTGTAAATGTCTATTAGGTCTGCTTGGTCCAGAGCTGAGTTCAAGTCCTGAATATCCTTGTTAATTTTCTGTCTTATTGATCTGTCTAATATTGACAGTGGGGTGTTAAAGTCTCCCACTATTATTGTGTGAGAGTCTGTGTCTCTTTGTAGGTCTCTAAGAACTTGCTTTATGAATCTGGGTGCTCCTGTATTGGATGCATATATATTTAGGATAGTTAGTACTTCTTTCTGCATTGATCCCTTTACCACTATGTAATGCCCTTCTTTGTCTTTTTTTTTCTTTGTTGGTTTAAAGTCTGTTTTATCAAAGACTAGGATTGCAACCTCTGTTTTTTTTCTTTCTGTTTCCTTGGTAAATATTCCTCCATCCCTTTTTTGAGACTATGTATGTCTTTGCACGTGAGATGGGTTTCCTGAACACAGCACACCAATGGGTCTTGACTCTTTATCCAATTTGCCAGTCTGTGTCTTTTAATTGGGGCATTTAACCCATTTACATTCAAGGTTAATATTGTTATGTGTGAATTTGATCCTGTCATTATGATGCTAGCTGGTTATTTTGCCCATTCATTGATGCAGTTTCTTCATAGTGTCAATGGTCTTTATAATTTGATATTTGCTCTTGCAGTGGCTGATGCAGGCTTTACCTTTGCATATTTAGTGCTTCCTTCAGGAGCTCTTGTAAGGCAGGCCTGGCAGTCACAAAATCTCTCAGCACTTGCTTGTCTGTAAAGGATTTCATTTCTCCTTTGCTTAATAAGCTTAGTTTGGCTGGATATGAAATCCTAGGTTGAAAATTCTTTTCGTTAAGAGTGCTGAATATTGGCCCCCACTCTCTTCTGGTTTGTAAGGTTTTTGGAGAGAGATCTGCTGTTAGTCTGATGGGATTCCCTTTGTGGGTAACCTCTTTTCTCTGGCTGCCCTTAGCATTTTTTCCTTCATTTCAACCTTGGTGAATCTGATGATTATATGTCTTGGGGTTACTCTTCTCAAGGAGTATCTTTGTGGGGTTCTTTGTATTTCCTGAATTTGAATGTTGGCCTGCCTTGCTAGGTTGGGGAAGTTCTCCTGGATAATATGCTGAAGAGTGTTTTCCAACTTGGTTCCATTCTCCCCATCACTTTCCGGTACACCAATG